AATAAATAAGTAAAATCTTAGAAAAAAAAATTTTAAGGCACACAAAAAAATATGATTTAGATTTAAAAGTCAAGTAATTAAATCTTCATTATGATTTTCCACTTTAAAGTTAAAAATAATTCAGCAATCACTCTCACTGTAAACTTTTCTCAGTGTGTACCTAATATATAATCAAATCCCAATGTAACATAAAGCAGTCTAAACTCTACTTTTCTTGCTGTGACAGATTTGTATTTTGGTTTTTATGGAATACAAAAATGAAAGGGGCTTCGATAGAAAGAAGTGATGAAAAGAAGCATTCACTTTATTACTTATATTATTTGAATTATTTATAAGAATACTCATACATGGCTTTTATAATTAAAAATATACCCCCAGAGGAACTAATGAGAAAATTGAATGCATACACATTTTTGTGTACATTTTCCCTCAGAGAGTATTATCAAAAACCAGTCAAATACAAAGTTAACGAAGACACTAAAGAAGAATGCCAAGAGAGAGGTGCTTAAGAAACAAAGAATATGTATCAAATGAAACTTTGCAAAAAAAGATAATAAGAGAAACAGCATAACATATAGAGAAGTTGATTCAATATGTTGTATACCTGAAATTAACATTGTGTGTCAATTCTAAATTTGTTAAAAATAAAAGACAAATGAAGCAAATCCATTTGTGGATGTGGTCATGTAACCAAATTGTTATTATATATGACAATATCCATCAGCCAAAATTTATTAATCATCTAATAGCACATTCTGGATGTTGTGCTACACACGACAGCAAATATTAAGATGTATTGAGACACAGTACCAGCCCTATAGGAATTCACAATTTTGTAAAGAAATTGCAAATTTCATAAAAAGTTAAAATATATACAAGGCCATGTGTCCCTGAAAACAAATGATTTATTCTAAAAGACTTATTCTCCCCTTTGAAGAAGAAGATCTCACGTAAAAGTTAAAATATTTTACGGATATCCACAACAGCAATGTATTATTTATTTATTTGTATGTATGTATGTATTTATTTATTTATTTATTTGCACTGTACTTTAAAAAGTACCACTGATAGAGAAAATACAATCTTAAAAAGTTCCTGTGAATATAGGAGCACTTTATAGCAGTATATGACTCTGCTGGGAATAATGGGAAACCAAAATAGCACTCACTTATAAGAGAAATTTATTTCCCTTATATAATCAAAAGCAGTTCAGGACCGGCCTTGTGGCTTCCCAAACATCAGGAGCTCAGGCCCCTTTGACCCTGTGAGTCTGCCATCCTCTAGATGCCACTTCTACCTCACGATCCTATTGACTGCTTCAGCTCCAGCATCACATCCTCATTCCAGCCAGCAGGAAGGAGAAAACGGCATTTTCTCTCCCTTTGTGTGTTAGAGTCAGTTAGACCCAGGTTCTTATTGGAGCTGGACCACATACTGGCTGTGTACATAGGAGTGGGTCGGTTATTTAATCTCTGTAGGGATGTCTGGGTGGCTCAGTGGTTGAGCCTCTGTCTTCAGCTCAGGGCATCATCCCGGAGTCCCGGGATCGAGTCCCACATCGGGCTCCCTGCATGGAGCCTGCTTCTCCCTCTGCCAAGGTCTCTGCCTCTGTGTGTCTCTCATGAATAAATAAAATAAAATCTTCTTTTAAAAATAATCTCTGTAAACATCAGCTTTCCAGAAGACAAGACACTTCTGCTTATATTCCATTGACCACAATTTGGTTACATGACCACATCTAGCTGCGCGGAAGGCTAGAAAATGTAGTCTCCTCTGCAAAGCAATGTGCCTAGCACCTATTACGGAAAATGGGAGAATCGATCTGAGGGAACCAGAGAGCTCTGCCACATTGTTTTTCTAGGAATCTTAATGAGAAAAAGAGTAATCTTCATACTTTTGACAAACAGAGGTAAATATATGTGTGAGGCATGAATTATTTCATCTACTGATAATCAATCCATGGTGAGCACAGGAATTTGAGGAGCCGGTCACAAGCTGGTCTCTACTGCAAGCTGCACAGAGTCCAGAGGCAGCCCAAATGACATGAGGTTGGTCAGCTCTCATTGGGGTGGTGAGTTGGGCCTGGAAGGGTGTGCAAGACTTGGAAGAGACACAGCTGGGGGCCAGGAATGCAACTGAGACAAGACTCCAGGGCAAACGCAAGAAGGCAAGAGGAGCAGTTTGTCTGGAGCAGAAGGCATGTGGAAGTATTCTATAATCCCAAAACAGTAGGAACATTGTCTATCACACGGAAAGTATTGGGAGGTAAGGTTAAAAAATGCTAAAAAAAAAAAAAAAAAAAAAGTTCTAGAAAGGATTTTGAATGCCGAAGGGAGGAGTCTGACATTCTGGCGCTGCCAGTTCTTCCATGTGTAGCCTCGGGCCAAGCTGGTTAACACTGTGGACTTCAACTTCCTCATCTGTGAACCATGGGTGATAATAACCACCTAATGGGAGTTGTCTGGAGATTAAATACTAGCATGCAGTCAGCATTCAATAAGTAGCAGGATTGATTAGAAGAGTTGAGCAATCAAGTAATGTGGTAAGTTTTTTTAAAGAGTCCATAGCGATCTGACAGCCCGGGGAGGAGTGACAGGAGGAGGAGAATCTAAAGGTAGAGCAAAGCAACATCACCCAGTGCAGTCAATGCACAGGAGTTTGCACTTGAAGCATTAAGCCAAGAAAAACTGGAGTTGACAGAGGTAATACTGGAGGCAGTAATATCGGTTAAGACTACCGCCAATGTCCAAGCCCAGGGATGAGGGCCTGAAATAAAACAATAGCTGTGAGGATGGAGAAAAAAATGACCCAGCTATGAAAGGAACTTGGTAAAGGATTGCAGACAGGAGTTAAAGAAAGGGGAAGGAACGTTCTGGCTTGCATACCTGAATAGCCAGTGGCACCATTCACCAAAGCAAGAAGAGGAGGTAGAAAAACAGCACAGGACTGAGGGGAGCAGAGAGATATGCTCACCTGATCACACTCTTGAAAAAACAGAGGGTGGAATGTGATTGTGGAGGTGATGCAGGGGCATCCAGATGATGAAGGTGCCCGATAACCCAACGGATACAGAGTTCTGGACTGGAGACATACAGATATATCCGGAAGCCCTACAAAATAAGCATAGCTTAAACTATGGAAGAATGAGCTCCCCCAGAGACAGCCTGTGGAACAGAGTCCTGAAGAAGGTCAACACTATCCGAGGTAAAGAGAAGTCAGAACATGGGGACATAAACAGGAGAGATGGGAGAACCAGGAGATCCTGATACCGGAGGCACCAAGAGAAAGAGGAGTGGCTAACAGTGTTGGAGCTGTTACAGGTTCCCAGTCACAAAGACCTGAAGGGGTTAGCAGGCTACTCACAAGACTAAATGCAATGCTGCCAAGTGCTCCTCAGAGAGTTTATGCTGGAATTGTACAGGAAAGGTCGGCTCCAGAAAATGCTCACCTCCCTTGGGAATGAAGAACAGTTCCAGAAGCAATTTAAAGAAATCTGCCACTACGCAGGGTTACACCAAGGCAACATGAAGATGGGTGGAGTTTCTGACAAGCTATTTATGCCTCTATCTTGATGTTTATCTGTCTGTCTCCTTCTCTCTCAGGAGTGGACCAAAGGTCTAAAAGGGTGAAAATGGAAGGTGCTAGCAGATGCAGCCTCTAGCCCTCTCCTATCACAGCCCCTCCCTGCTAGACTGTAAACTTTTTGGGTCTTATCTTCTACATCGAATCTCGTACTGCCTGTGGATAGACAGGCACTCGAGTTTGTTGACTAAAAAAACCGAAAGCACATAGGATAATTGGCCAACAAGAGAAATAAGTGCTGGAAGACAGAGGCAAATAACATAAAGACGTGGTTAAGGGAAGGTAAAACTCTTCTCTGGCCCCCAAGTCTTCCAGCTAGACTAAGAATTACATTGGCATGGGGCAGATTAACTGGAGATCAGATTTAATAGTGTACATATGGGGAATTCACAAGAACATGGAAATTCCATAAAAAGGCAAAATGAGGAATACATGTCATTCTGTACTGAGGAGAAGGAGTAGGGGTCTAGGACTTCAAAGGGAAAGAGTGCAATTCACAAGAACATGAAAAAGAAAGAGTCAATGTTTGGTAAACTATTGGAAACAATGGGACATGGAGGATTGTGATCAAACAGGTCTTGCCAGGTCCCTCCCGTCTATCATACCTAGTTCATATGATGTAGTTCCCTGTGGTGACGGCTCTCTACCTGGAGCAGGGCCTCTCCCTAAATTCTTTTTAGGCAGTCATGGGAGACGTGAAGAGCTGTTCCTGAATCTGCTGGGTTTCAACTGCTTTTTAACTCAAAATAATCTTTATGCCAAAGTGCCCATCATGGGGCAGCCTGCCCTTGGACCCTAGCGTGGTTAGAGCTCTTTGAATCAAACTCCGACCTTAGTAGGAAATAGGCTCTGCTACCTCCTAACTGGATGTTTAACTTTGAGCAAGTTCCTTAAATATACAACAGGAATTAAAATAGAATCCATCCTAAAGATAGCACTCACCTAAATGAGGAAGTACATACTGTATTTGGCAAAGTACTTTATTACTACTCAACCCACCAGATGTCTGACCTGAAAACATTTAAGACATTTTGAAAGTAATTATAACTATAAATTGACCACTGGTTATCAACCAACGTCATCAATATATACACAACCCGGAACTGCACAGCCATGTCACAGTAAAACCAGGGAGATAAAACCTACCTCTCACATGGAGTCATTAAAGAGTTTAGAGAAATTAAATGAGGACATTCATGTAAAAGAACTTTCACAGTAAATAGCATCCACCATAAAAATGAATTGGCCTCTTCTTAAAACTGGACCTGTTAAAGATTGTAAAAATGCCTTATACTCAACACCACTGTTACCAAGCCAAAGCTCCCATCGTATTCATTTGGCAAAAAGGAGAAAACAAAATAGATAGCTTTTTTCTACAATCTATGATTTTAAAAAACAGCCCTCTAAATTGTACTTACAAGTCCTTCTTCTGTAATATCTGGTGGCTCTGAAACAAGATAAAATATGACATTATCTCACTCAAATCTGATTTCCTTTTAAAGTAAATGAAATAATTTGAGACAGCACCTAGCCCTGCTTTACACATGGGCAAGCTCACTAAAATTTTGGCCCTCTGTTCATTCTCTGCACATGGATTGAATTTTAAGTTGGAATTCAAGGTGGAAGTGGGGAGGAAAGGCCTCTGGAATCCAGCTTGGTCACTAATTCACTGTGACCCTGGAGTTAACCTTGTAGGCTTCCATTATTCCAGCTGCAAAACGGAGAATTAAGCAAGACAAAGTAAGACGGTGCCAACGAGGCAATGCAAACGCGGGTCGGGGGCTGCGGCTGGGGCCGTGGACGGGGGGGGGGGGGGGGGGGGGGGCAGTCCGCAGTACAGAGCTGCGCAAGCGCAGGGGAGGCCGCTCGTGGAGATGGGGGGGGGGGTCGGGTCCCGGGGCGGCCTCGCGGGCCCCGCCGCCGCACCTACCCGCCGCCAGCCGCTTCCCGGGCATGCCGCCGCCGCCGCCGCCGCCGCCGCCCGCGCCCGGGACCGCTCGGGGCCCTCAGGGCGCCACCGCCCGGCAGCGCCGCCCTCGCCCCGGGAGCCGGAGCCCGAGCGCTCCCAGCCCCGCGGCCTCGGCCGCCGCCGCGTTGCTATGGAGCCGAGACAATGCGGGCCCCGCGCGCGCCGGAGGCCCGGGGCTGCCGCGCGGGGCGCGGGGGGGCGGGGGGGCGCGGGGGGGGGCGGGCGCTGGGTCGCCGCCGCCGGTGCTCCTCCCGCCCGGCGCTGGGGGCCCCTCCGGAGACAGGCCCCGCCTCGCCTCGAGGGGGCCTCGTGCCCGTGGCTGCCCGCGGCTCCGGGCCTGCTCCCGCCGCTCAAGACCCAGGCCGCACGGTCCGGGGCACCGGGAAAGCCCGGCTGGCGAGCGGGTGCGGGCAGTGGGCCCGACGGGCTGGTCGGCAGGACGGGAGGACGGACTCACCGGGCCTCGCGAGTGTCCCGGACACCGACCTCAGCCGGACAGTCACCCACAGCGCCGGAGCTCATCCTCGGCTCTGGGAAATGCCCACATCAAAACTTAAAACATCCTCGTGCCTTAGGAACCAGACCTGCCCCCACGTTTCTGCTTCGGTCGGTTACGACTGCTGCCTGGTCAACATCTATCTAAGCTATGAAAATTACCCGAGGAGGAGGCTGTTGACGAAGAGAAGGAATACATGGAGGATGTCCATCGGGTGTGTTCCAGGAAAAGTTATGATTGAAGTAAAAAGTGAAATTCGAAAAAAAAAAGAAAAAAAGAAAAAAGAGAAATGGTACTTCCAATTAGGAGGGGGAAGGGATGGGGGAAGGTGATTTTTAGAAATGTCATAGTCACCCCAAATCTCCAGCCCAACCACATTTCCACCTCAGGCTCCCCCTGAGCCTAAGAACCCTAAATCCAATTGCTTGCTGTACCTACACTCTGGTGGCTCTTCCTTGGATGCTTCCAAATAAAAATAGCCAAAAGGAAAATCTACATTTTCCCCATTCCTTATCTTCAAATTTCATCTATCTACATAAATCCCATGTTAAGTGGTACCTTCATCTATTAGGTGACTCAAGCCAAAAAGGCTGTATTTAGACAAGCACTAGGTCTTGCCAATTCTACAGCAAGGTATTTCTGGAATCTGGAATCTTCTCCCCACTCCCATGAACTACCATACCATTGCCTTAGCACTGTCTCCCGTGTGGAATGTTGTAAAAGTTTCCTAACTTCTCCCTTTTCCACTGTTTGCTTCCACTGGAGTTTCCCTTAAATACACGTCCCATGCTGAACGCAAAACTCTCTGAATACCAATATGACCTCCTTAAAACCTTTGGTGTCTCCACATTTGCTTCCTACACTGTGAGGGACATCCGAGACCTGTCAGGGTCCTGCGGGTATGTGAATTTAGGCAAGCAAGGAGTCAGACAATGGGTGCTTCTAGAGCAAGGAACCATAATACCTGCCTAGTTATAGCCTTTTCAATAGTGCCTAGGCAAAGAGCAAAAATGAAACTGTAAGCCACTGTTTGACCAAACAAAATCAGAGCGCCAAATGAAGTCAAGGGTGAGTAGTGGAAGCAAATAGAAAGGCAAGAAAGGGAGGTGGGAGGCAAAAAATCACGGATTTTGTTGGCCCTTGCAAAGACCCAGCTTTCATTTTGAGTGAAATGCAAACCATAGACGTTTTGAGCAGAGAAGTATTATGATCATATTGTTATTTGAAAAAGATCACTCTGGGTGCTATCTACAGGACGTAGATGGCGCAAGTAGAAGCCGACAAGAGCTGATTGATAGTGGCTCAGACCAGGGTGGTAGCGGTAACAGGTTTGAGAAGAACTCAGATTCTGCATATATTTTAAGGGTAGGACCAAGTGTATTTTCCTGATAAGTTGGTTGTGGGAATGAAACAAAAAGTAGCTGAGCATGAGCAACCAGAAGGATGGAGTTGCCATCATTGGAGATGGGGAAAGCTGTGAGTGGACCACGCTGTGGGGAGAGTTGAAGAAGTTTATGAGCCTTATAAGTGAAGATTCTGAATTTGCAATTGATATAGAATCCTGGAATTTAGGGAATGTAAATTTGAGAGCTGACATATAAATAGGCTTTTTAGGCATTCATTTGCTTGCATGGTTTCTGTTGCCAGGGAAGCCCTTCTGCCGTTTTTTCAAGCAAAATTTTCTCATTCTTCAATACTCAGCTTGAGTGTCATCTTCTCTAGTGTACCTTCCTATTAATTCCTTTCACTGGCCTCTCCTATTGTTCCTGTATACTTGGTAAAAATTCTTATCTTAAAACCATATTAATATTAAAAATAACCTGTACAGAGAGGTATGCCCACTACCTTCAATGCTACCTAGCAGATAGTAAATTCCTGGGGATTGAAAGAGATCCGTCTTATTTACCTCCTACCCCCACTATCCCCTACTGAGTGCATGCCACTCAGTGCATATTTTTTTTAAATATCTTCTCTGCATTGCAATCATTCCCCACTGTGCCCTATTCACAGAAAAGATTTGTTTATCCTTGTTTCAGATAACCACATCAATAAGAGGTCAATTGTTTTGTCATCAAGTGTGGCTAACACTTATTGCGTACTTAACTATGGGCCTCTAACAATACCCCTAAGAGATTGTTATTATTATTCCCAACAATCTAGGAAACTGAGATTTCCAGAGGTGAGATAATTTGCTCAAAAACAAACAGCGTCAAAGAGTTGAAGCCACAAGTTGATCCAGGTCTGATTCCAAAGCCTTTTGCGCTTTAACAACCATGCTATGTAAGCTTTCCCTCTAAAAATAATCTCATGAGATTTAAAAAACAACCCTAAAATCACAAAGACTGTAACTTGAAAGCAAATTTGTAGGTTATAAGTTATTCAAATGTTTTGGCAATTTTATTTTTTGTAATAGCTTTATTGAAATGCAATTCATATATCATACAATTCACCTACCTAAAGTATAACTTCCATGATTTTTAATATATTCAAAGTTGTGCAACTATCACCAAAATCAATTTTAGAACATTTTTATTACCTCAAAAAACCCCATACCCTTTGTTCTCCCCTATTCATCTCTTGCCTGCTAACCTACATTTTGCCTCTATGAATTTTCCTATTCTGGACATTTCATATAACTGAAATCATACATTGGGCTTTCATGACTGGTTTCCTTCACTCAGCATAACGTTTCTAAGTTTCATCCATATTGTGGCATGAATCAGTACTGCATTCCTTCTTATTGCTGAATAATATTCCATTGTGTGGATATATCACAGTTTGTTCATCATTGGGTTGTTTGACTTTTTGGCTATTATGAATAATGCTTCTATGAACATCCATGTACAAGTTTTTGTGTGGATATATGTCTTCATTTCTCTTGAATATATACCTAGGAGTGGAATTGCTGGATCAAAAGGTAATCCTATGTTTATTTGGCAACTCTTTGTAGCTTTTTGAGGAACTGTCACAGTGTTTTCTATATTGGCTGAACCATTTTACATTACTACCAGCAGTGAGTTAAGAGTTCTGGTTTCACCACATCCTTACTAACATTTGTTACTATCTAACTTTTTTATTATAGCCATCCCACTGGGTGTGAAATGATTATCTCCTGGTGGAATTGATTCACATTTCCCTGATGACTAGATTTTATTTATTTTTAAAATATTCTGTCTCTGACCCCCAAACTAGCTAGTTTTTCCAGAAATGCCTTTTTTTTCTACAACTACTCTGCATCATTGTTGAAAACTAATGCTGTCCAGAACCAAAAGTTTATAAGGGGAATTATATCTGCATAAATGGAATTAAGTTTCTTTGTTTACTCTGTTCAGGACATATTGTTAGCAAATTTGAAAGATATGTTTGAGATGACCTTACTTAAAAATAGACTTTGTAGTATACCTGTAGTTCAATTTGGGGAACTCTGGAAAGTATCTCAGGCCCCCTGCAAAACAGCTAAAATTGTAATGAGAAGCCAATATAACCATGGGATAGAAATGATATCATGTTAAGCTGCTGTGGACAAAGAAAAATGATCAGGTTTCAGATATGAACCCTAAACCAAATGTTTCAAGGGCTGACCTAAACCACAAAGATTAATTTGCATTAGGGCTACTCTGTAGCCTGCTCAGAAGGTGAAGCTGCAAGAATTTATTCAATGATTCTCCCAAATATTGCTGGAGAGATGTGCTAGTGTGTGTGTGTGTGTGTGTGTGTGTGTGTGTGTGTGAACATTCAAAAGCAAAATGTCAGGCATCCTACCTGCTTAATGATTTAAAAGTACTAGTCCTTACTTGAGTTTGGTGTGGTAGGGTCCCATGTAAGCCTAGTTCTAAACTTTTCTGAATATGAGTAGGAATAGCACGAAAAGCTGAAATTTATATCATTGTGATTTTAATTTTTAATGGTAATGAGACTTTTCATATGGCCGTGAGTCTGAATATACAAGTGGACAACGGCCAGACCATATATGCCAACAGAATTCTGACTCAATTCTCTGCAGCAACCCATCTTGGAAACAGAACCACCATCTCTGCAGCCATAGCCCCAGAATGGTCAAGAATTGGTCAGTAACTGCCAGTTTTCTTATTTTTTCCCCCTATTTCCAATTAAGGACCAACTAGAGAAAGTCAAATATGCTTCCCAAACCAATCACATAGGATGCCCTCTAGATTCTAGTTAGCCTGCTTCCTGCTCCCCCATACCAACAACCTCCAATCGAAGCATACCTGAAGTCTTCCCCTTTATTCACTATACAGCCTCCCCTCCCCTCTTGCCTGCCTTTGAATCTCTACCAAATGCAGATGATAGTGGCCGACTCCCTTGCTAAACAAGCTCTGAATAAATACCTTTTGCTTGTTCCTCTTTGAGTTCTTTTATTTCCACATAGCTAAAGCAGTTTTAATTTTTACACACAAATGAAACAGAATGACAGAACAATGCAGTGCAATGTTTTTCCTAGGAGCTGGATGGCAATTCAACATCTAATAATGTAGTATACCAACTGCCACTCCAGTCCCTAAAGTAAGTGC